TGTAACTTGTGCAATCTTGGTCGGAATAAGGCAATCTTGGTATCGTTGGAAAGCTCTGGATTTCTCCTGCATGATCAAGCATGTAGACTTGGAGAAAAACATAGAGATGATAAAAACCAACAGACATGCGCCTATGACATATGCCAATGACATATGCCTATGCAAATGATGCAAGCACACTTAGCACGAGCACCCTGCATGACGTTAGGATGATATGCATACAGAATGACGTGCATTCAACAAACTCCTCAAACTAACGGACTGCATGCATACACTCACAAGCATGCAATCACTCATGCACACAAACACGCATGCATTCATGACACCGCTGCCCACACTAGTGCAATGCACATCATTGCACACTTCCAATGTGCGCTCTCAAAAAGTCTCTTGGTGAGAAAATCTGCCGCCTGCTTGCTAGCCTTCACATGGTGAAGTTCAACAATCCCCTCTTCACCATCTGCCTCACCCACTTCCAATTGACATTCATGCGTTTATTCAGCCTATCTAACTATTATCGATGCCAATTGGAGCCTCGCTATAAGGAAAAAATGGTGCAGGTCCTTGCTGTTCAACTCCCATGTCTTCCAGCAGCTTCCTCAAGAGCACAACCTCCTTGATGGCATACTACATCGCCATGTACTCCGCCTCTCCGGAAGACTGAGCAAAATCACTCTGCTTCTTGGACCTCCAGCTCACTGGTCCACCTCCGACCATGCACACAAAACCACCAACTGATGACTTGTCCTCCTCTTCTGGGGCCCATGTAGCGTCGACGAAGCACGATAGCTTCAAGGTTCCATGTGTGACCCCATCTGCTCCAATCTGTTTCAGCTGACCGCCAACTGAAAACTGAACACCAGCAGATGTCGTTGATCCGAGGTAGCGCACCAAGCGCTTTGCCACCTCCAGGTGCTCCTCAGTAGGCCGCTGCACAACTCTAGCTAGCTGCCCCACTCCAAATAAAGCGTCAGGTCGCACATGCACAGCAGCATACATCACACTCCCAATGAGTGACTGGTAGTTATTCTGCTGCTCATCCTCGAGTACATCATCCTCCTCAGCTGCCTTCTTCAGTTTGAAGCCCGCAGGGAACGGTGTCATCACAGTGCGACCCCCAGTCACACCATAGCGCTCCATGACACCAGAGATGTAGTGTGATGATGCATCTTCAGCCGCCTCCTCTCATCATCTTTTTTTATCTACAGCTCCAAGTAGTACTGGACGTCCCCCAGCATCTTGAACTTGAATTTGTCCATTAGCAGCTTTTGTGTCCTCTCAATCCGCTCCATGGAAGGAAAGAACAGCAGTATGTTATTGACATACACCAACAGCACGAGCAGCTGCTCCCCCTCTCCAAGCAGAAACAAGCTGTGATCTGCTTGGGACATCTTGAAGCCTCCACTCAACAGCACCTCCTCCAGTTTCTTGTACCAGCACCTGAGCATTTGCTTAAGGCCATAGATAGCCTTCTTGAGCTTGCACACCCGGCTGGTCCCATCCTCATAGTCGTCCGGCTGCGACATATAGATTACTTCAGCAGTATTCCATTGAGGAATGCAGTGGTGATATCCATCTGCTTCACGTGCCATCCCTTCACAGCGGCGCCAGCCAGCGTAGTCCTTAATGCCACTAGCTTAACAACAGGAGCGAAGATCTCCTTCAAGTCAACCTTCTCTTTCTGCTGAAACCCCTTGGCGACCAAGCGGCTCTTGAACCGCTCGAGCGCACCATCAGCTCCATTCTTCACCTTGAAGACCCGCTTGCTGCTGATTGGCCGTCGCCCCTCGAGTAACGCAACGAGCTCCTAAGTCTCATTCTTTATGAGACTGTTGAACTCCGCATCCATGGCAGCCTTCCACTTCTCTTTCTAGGGTCCACACATTGCCTCCTCCACAATGGTTAGTTCTCCAGGCAAGGGTGTGAAGAAACAGAAGGCCATCTCCTCATCCTCTCCCTCATCCGCCTGAACCGCCATAGCACCTGATTTTGGTCCTCCCAAACGGCTATACTTCAGCCTTGAAGGTGGCACTGCTACTCTCTTCTTGCGGGTTGCAGTGTGCTGCCCATGTGGTGAAGCTCCTTTCTGCACACTCCTCTTGGTGACCATGGCGATTGCAGCAGGCTTAGGCTGAGATGATGAGTCTATACGTGCCGCCTCATCTTCCAACCCCTCCTCCACAGCACGACCAGAAATTTGGTGCTCACCACCACCGCCACTATGATCACTAGTCAGCTCTGACCCAGGGAGATCATCAAGGTGCAGCTGTACCTCTTCCACTGCTGACCGCTCAATCTCCAGCAAAAGCAAGCCAAACTACATCTGCTACTGCTGCTGCCAGTCCTTGTATATGACGTCTTCCACAAACTTGACGTCACGGTTGACCAGCGCCTTCTTGGTCTTGAGGCCTTGTTTGTAAAAAAACACATTGCTTTAACGACCGTCTCATCTACTCCTGGCTGGTTTTGCTAGGAAAAAAGCAATCTCACCACTCCAGTACATTGAGACAACAAACAAACAAGCAAGGATTCAGTGAGAGCTAGTTGCCTATGTACAATGCAATTCTTGGCTGGCTACTGACTCCTTGTTCTGGGCGTGGGGTGAGGCAAGAACCTGCACACACACGCCGCAACAGACACACAGAACATGCAAACACACACATACACACATCTGACATGCACCTCATCTCCACCGCACATTCAGCCCACATATGTGATCAACACCCTCCACGCCCAAAGGCTTTCTCCTCCTCGCACCTCCAGCTGCACTCTCCCGTCAATCCACGTGAAACCCCCCTCTCGGCTGCCACCAATGTACACGTGAGACGTCTGTATTCTTTCCCACACTGAGTTGGCTACTTCCTTGCTGCATATCTCCAGCTGTCTCTCTCGAACATCCGCAATCACTCCGCTATACACCTCTCCGTTATCAAACGCCGGATTGCACATTCGGGTCACATGAAACAAAAATATATACTCTCTCGTTTCGTGTGACAGACCTCTACAGAGTTATCAAGAAGCCCCACATGGCACACCTCCAGGAATAAAGGAGGGTGTTGGAAAAGTTGTAGCCTTATTGCACCTTTTCCTAGTGAAGTGAACACATGTATTACTACTGTGTTCGCTCATATGGAGCACGCATAGCAACAATCACGAGTTGGCTGTTGTGACTATTGAACGACCTCGACTAGTTGCAAACTATTTCGCATGTTGCAACAATATCAGAGGTTTTGCGCTGCAACGAGGTAACTGAAGAGACCGCAATAGTCACTGCAAAACAAAGGAATACCCAAATGTATGTTGTAGTCTAGAGTCCTGTTAGGGGTCGCGGATGCCCATGAAACCGCCTAAGTAGAAACTGATGACTTCAAACCGCCTCTCATTGAACGAAAACGTAAGCTCGGCTGAAAATCGTGTATTCTCATTGATGCAAGGAAAATGTGAGTACAACATTGCCTAGGGGACTCTTAAGGGGTTGGGATCATCCTGGGAACTCAGAGAAGGTTGAGTCCTAGGGGAGAAAGGCTAGAGAAGGATGGGAAACGTCCTAGCTAGGTCAGCAAAGCCAACCACACATGGATGTTCAGAGCTGTACTCAAGGCTACCAATAGTGAGTCAAGCCAACCATGAGTCAGCTTGTCTTCCCACTTGCACCCTCTTGCAAGCTGCTTCCAGGAAGATCACACTTCTCAAAAGGATCCCACTTGACCACCTGTACTTCTTGTCTCATTCTCTGTCCCTGCACCATTGGCATGACAACAATGAAAGGGTGGCAAGGGAAATGCTGCCAACAGTGCACCATGACTAAGTAACGAAAGTGACTTTCGACAGCTGTCACGCAATGCTCCGATATTGGATTGTTCTGAAACTTGGCGTCCACCTGCACAACGGGGCAAAGGACTGCCAGACCAATTTTCATACTAAACAGAGCTCGGTAGACGAGTCAGCAGCCGAAATGGTGAACTCGGGTGTTACCAAAAAAGAGTAACACACACTTCCGGGATCCCATATGTCTTGAAACTTACATTGTTGTCATGCCTTGGTAACTGTTTCAGAAACTCTGAAACTTTGAGGGTTTGCAGAACACATGTTGAACAACCTTCCCACAAAATTCCAGAAGCTGAGCAGGCTTGTAGGCCGAATGGGAGTGCGATGACCGTGCCACTGTAATGTGTTGGCACAACAACGCATGTACCCCCCAGAGTACATTGCACGAGAGAAGTAACATTTACGATTTTTTTGTCATTAAAATCCGATATGGTTAAGATCATCATATAACGAATTTTGGTCTCTTTATTGTTCTCCTTAGCAGACTTTTCCTGTCTAACAATGATAATTTGATACCGTAATCACCCGGATATAAGACCCTAGAGTCACATGAAAACTACGGGAAAATATGGTGGGGGGTCTAATCATATGGTAATGGTAATATAAGACATGGGTCTTTGCAAAAGAACATGCTTTTTACACTTGTATTTGAATGCAAAGATCGCGTTGGTGTTTGATTTGTTATTGAAAGCATCGGCACTCACAGGCTGGTGAGCCCAGTGAGCCTGGAGATGTCGGCATGTAAGCTGCCACGAAGCTTCTTGTTGGAAAGATCCCTGTTGTGACGTCAGCAAGCCCATGCCACCCAGGAAGCAAGGAAAGAGGAGTATTGAGCATGAGGCACATGAGTGCAGCGAGCAAGGCAGCGTGCGGTGTCAGCTGCTAGAAATGCGCCAGCCTCGGTGTAGATCTCAACTCACATGTATGAACGTCTGTAACAAAATAAACCCTTTCATGGTGCAATGCAAACACATACAAGGGACAGACCTGCACCCTGTGAGGCGAGTTAGCATGTATCCAGACATAGCATCGCACGCACACAACACACACATAGCATACACTTGGCAATTGCGCATGGCATACACATAGCACATGCACATAGCAGACACATAGCAGGCACACAAAACATGCTCGTAGCACACCCATAGCACACCCATCGCACACAACACATATTAAACAAACATTGCACGCACCTCCCACTCGTATAAAGCACACGTTGCATACACATAGCACATATACATCAACCAGACACACATGCACACAGCACATGCACATATCACGCACACATGCACTGCACATAACACATGTGTGCACGCCCATATCCCATGCAAATAGCCCATGCACATAGCCCACCCACACGTATCCCCTCCACACACACATGAACCCCCCACGCACAGGCTAAGGACTTGGCGCGAGAGGTCGCAGACGACGCCCGTCCAGCTGTCCACCGCGGGGGCGTTGCCCGCCAGCGTGCAGGGCGAGTCCACCGCCCAGCTGCTCGCACTCACGCCCAGCCCCGCCCTCAGTGCCAGCAGCGCCAGCGCTGGGAGAAGCAGGTGGGGGGAGAGGGAGGAGGAACAGTGGGGAGGAGAAGGGGGGAGTACAGGAAGAGAGAGGGTGAGTCAGTAGGGAGAGATGAAAGTGCGGGAGCAAAAGGGGCGAGGGTGTGGGGTGAACACTGGGCTGGGTGTGTGAGGTTGGATGAATGACTGATGGGGGTGTGAGACAAAGGCAGGCACCCGACGTGAGCACAGTAAGCACAATTCTGGCACACAAATACAGCTGCCCATACGAGTGCTATTGTTCAACTTAAGTGGAACCTCTGAAACACACCTATGTAGACCAGACAAGATTATCGTACCCACACTACAATTCCCCACTCACCAGAGTTGTCATCCACTGCAACGGCCTCGCAAAACATTGCTGGGAGGGTGGAGGTGAGGTTGTTCACAGTGCCAGCGGCAAGGCGAGCAGCGACATCGGGAGTGCAGGTGGTGCCGGCACAGAAAGGCGGGGCGCCCGTGGCGGAGCCACAGAAGGCACAGCCGGAGGTGCGCTGAGCCACACCGGCATCGTTGGTGCAGGAGCCCGGCGAGGAGAGGCAGTTGCTGCGGATGTCGCACAGCTGGAAGGGCTGCGTGGGGAAGGCGCCCGCCAGGAGGTTGCTGGCGATGGCCAGCACTTGCAGCTGCGAGACCATGGCTGGCAGCGTGCCCGTCAGGTAGTTCGCTGACAGCCGGCTGTAAGAAGAAGAGTGGGAGGAAGGGAGAGAAGTGAAGTGGTGAGAGGAGAACATTGAAAAATATGATGGCAATGGGAATGGATATGGGCACAGGCATGAGAAAATGAATGGGCACGGGAATGGGCATTGGGATGGCAATGAGCTCCGGAATGGTCATGGGCATGGGCACGGAGTAGGCAAAAGATTGGCTACATGGGCAATTGAGCTTTAGGCATGGACACTGGGCATGAATATTGGGCATGGGGATTCGGCACGGACATTGAACATGGGCATGGGCATGGCACTGGGTATGGCAATGGGTATGGGTATGGGCATGGGCATGGCAAAACTGACAGTTCTGTGAGTCGAGGCATGTTAACCAGGGCCGAAGGAATACTGTCGTAGAGATAGTTGGAGTTGAGGTTCCTGAATAAACACATGCCCCCGAATGTGAAGCACGCCATAAACACATAGGGATGAGATGAAGATGAGTAGAGTGGAGAATGGTGTTTGGATGTGTAGGAAACAGAATGAGGTAGTGTCATCCATTAAACCGAGACACACATGGAGGCAAAGGTGGGTGGTGAATCCCTGGTTGGTAGCATGGCACTCACTGAGTGGCCATGGTGGTGAGACTTTTTGGATTCATCAAAGTCGACTCACAGAGTGGCCAAGGCAGTGAGCGGCAGCATGTTGGAGACGAACTTGGAGAGCTGACCAGAGAAGAGATTGTAGGACAGATCGCTGCGAGTGGGCGTGGGAGGGGAGAGGCGGACAAAAATGATGAGCGAGAGGAGGATGCTGAAAGAGAAAAGAGATTAGAGGCTCAGTGTTGGACCCAGGTCTGCATCCATGAGGAAAGGGATAGTGCGCTTGTAAACCACCCATTCTCTGTGAGGTTGTGGTTTAGGTTGATCTTTCTCAAAAGTACCGCTCCAAGGAGCATAGGGTTCAAGTTGGGGGTTGGAACGTACAGGTAGGAGAGGGCAGTGAGCTTGGCGATGTCGGCATGGATGATGCCCCTCAGTGCCTTGTTGGGCAACGTGCTGCCATGGGATAGCGGGAGGCATGGGGACAGCGGAGGAATGGGGATAGCAGGAGGCATAGCAGCAGGCATGGGAATAGCAGGAGGCATGGAGAGAGGATGCTTGGGGTTAGCACGCAAGCATGGGGAGGAGATGCATACACCATTCAGGTCCAATTATGAACTAGTTAGCTGGAGGGAAAGGAGCCTCACATGTTGAGGACGGTGCCGTTGGAGTTGCACCACATGCCCGGAAACGACTTGGGGTTGGCGCTCTGCCCCTCAATGTTGCACTTGCTGCCGTTGCGCCAGTCCGTGTCTCTCACCCCAAGAGCCGCCCCCACCTTCAGCAGTGCCGCCACTGCCGGTGGGAGTGCACGTGGGGACAAAGGATGAGAAAAGACTTAGGGCTTCCAGCCAGGGACGGTGCCACACCAAAATATGCGTAGTTATGTGTAGCGGCATGAAGGGATCTAAATATGGCATTGGAAGGAGAAGGGAGTCAGAAGAGGCAACTTAAAATATCACGACAGCACATGTCATGGAAAGTGAGGGATTTTCAAACACGTCATCCACGAATCCATGTGTGGTAGGAGGAAAGAGAGGAAGGGGGCTCACCAGAAGTGGCATCAAGCGGCACGGCAGCACACGTCATGGTGAGAGTGGGGGCAGCAGCACTGTTGGGAACCTTGGCGAGGGAAGGAGGGAGGACCCAGCTTCTTTTTTGTTGACCCACACATGCTGCAGTCTTCTGCTCCCCTCTGATCCGTTCCATCCAGGTTGAAGCAGCCTGAGGCGTTGGAGAAGCAGTTGAGGCGAGTGTTGCAGGCTAGTGTGGCCGTGGGGAAAGTGCCCGAGAGGAAGTTGGCCTGAATGTCGATAACCTTGACGGTGGCACCGGGCTTGGGCATTGAGCCTGTCAGATAGTTGTAGCTCAGGCGACTGGTGGTTGTGAAGAGCAGGAAGGTGGGATTATGAAAGGAGATGAAAAGTATCGATTCTGAACAGAGTTGGGAAAGGAATATGACGGAACAAGAAGGAATGGAAAGAAATGGCGGAGTGGGAAAGGGTGAGGGACAACGCGGCAATGATTGAGCAACGACGGTTATAATAACTTCTAAAGGATGAAGTGTGGTCAAATGATAATTTTCTTCCTTTAAGAGTTTAATGTACAAAAAATGGCAGAGTGGGGGAGGGTGAGAGGACAACGCGGCAATGATCAAGCAACAAGGGTTATGTTATTTGCTAGAGGATGAAGTGTGTGGCCATGATTGTTTTGTTTTTGTTTTGTTTTGTTTTGTTTCTTTTTTCCTGTTTTTTTTTCTTTGTTCTTTGTTTGGATGTATAAAGGGTTTAAGTGCAGGAAGTTACCGATTGGAGAGGGCGGCCATGGTCACGAGCTTGGATGGCACAGAGCCGTAGAGCCAGTTGAAGCTCACCGCCCTGGTGGGACACGTGAAGGCACAGACACACACGCAGAGATGCGCACACACGTGCACCAATACACATGCACACAAGAGGCAACAAGAAATCCACATCAAAGGACAGGATAAAAAGGGATGAATAATGAAGGCTAAAAAGCTATGCACGAGTAGATGAGCAAGAGCAACGACACGTGCAGCCGAGAGTATATCATAGCAGAGAAGGTGCCTCGGAAGTGCGGAAAAGGTGCTGAGAAGTTGTTGAGGAGGTTCTAAATGCGTCAACACTTGAGATGACACTGTGCTTGATCAACATCCTTGATCCTACACAGGTCTGGTCTGCGATTGATCCTATACAGGTGTGTGCTTTTTTACATGTCCAAGTCAGGCTCTGACGCGGCAACGAGCTGAGGCGAGTGACAGGAGAAGCAGGGAAGTGGGAATGCGAGGAAGGAGTGTGATGGAAGGACGGTAATATCAGGAGAAATGATCTGACTGCTACATGCAAGGAGGAAAATATCAAGAGAATATATATTTAGATGTTTTCAGCATTGTAAGAGCCCGCTTACATAGAAGGTTACACTGAAAAAAAAGACATCGCACGTGATATTTCAAAGTCAAACAATGGGTGCTCACATCTAAATTACTTCAGCAGTATCACTACAGTCTACAGAGCACGCCAGACCACGTGGTCTGTGTGGCAGCCTGCTTGCCAACAACTTGGCACGGCACAGTTGCTGCCCACGAGGTGAAGGTCACTCCCAGCGATGACTTGAGCGCCAGCAGTGCTGGCGAGGGGAGGGCGGGGAGGGGGTGGGACAATATAAAATAGCAGGGACAGAGTGGAGAGTTGGGGGGATGGGAGGTGGGGGAAGAAAGAAGTACAAGGACTATGAGAGATGTGGAACTGAAGTCGTTGGGAAATTAATGAAATGACAAACCACCAATAATATGTTTATGAACGAACTAATGCATGGTGCGCGGATGGCAATGCAAGACTGGGAGCAGCATCCACACACCTGCATGCATCTGCGGATCCCGGAAGCTGTGTGTTTGGCTTACAGGGTGGTAAGCTGTGGCAGGGAGGCAATGAAGGAGGGGATGGTTCCCGCAAACCAGTTGTTGTTGAAGAAGCTGGGGGGTAGAAGCAGGAATGCACCGCAAGAGATTAGAATGAGAGGATAGAGTAGTCATGAAAAGGCATAAAAAGCATTTTGAGAACGGCCAGAGGAAGGGTTACATCCTGATACCAGATGTCTTGCTTGGATTCGCTATGCAAACTCCATACCCCACACAATACCAATAATGAAAAGGAATGATTTTACAGCTCTTATAGAGAATATACTTACAGCGCCTTCAAAGACGTCATCCCTGTTATTGGAGTGGCAAACACTTGAAGACTGCCCTGGAAAAGGTTGTAGCCGAAATCCCTACAGCAGGTGCAGGAGAGAGAACGTGAAGCACGTATTTAGAATGGAAGGATTGTGATGGGGGCAGGTCGCAGGATGGGTTGGAGAGAAAGACACCACTTGTTAGGGCCATTGTCACCTTCACATCAGCAGCACAGTAACCATAATTCACCCTCTCATTTGCAGATGTATGCATTCATGCCTGCATAATCAGCTTCTCTGGGGGCAGAAAGACAGCCGTTCATTATAGATACGAGATGAGAGAAAAATGCTGGTCTGTCCATGACTCCTCCCAACTCCCTTACTCCATGCCCAAACGACTGGTCATGGGATGCCAGAGGCAACAGGGTGGTCTTCAGTTCTATAACTTGAAACTTCAGGGTGGCAGAGAGGCACAAGACTATACAACTATGCATTCCCTTTGCAATCCAGCCTGTCTGAGTGTCGTGTGTCACAGGTTCTTGTGAGTGCGTCCCCTATTTTACTCTTACAGGTAAGTGAGCGCGGTGAGCTTGGAAATTTCCGCATGAATAGACCCCGTTAGACCCTGATGCGCCAACGAACTGTGGGGGATTCATGCGAAGAGGCAGAGGGATGGGTGTAGAAGAAGTTGATAGAGGCGGGCTGGCTACCTGTCTAACCCCCTTCTTCCCTCCCACAAAGCTTTAGCATGCATGCATGGGTGCTCACATTGAAATCACGTCCCCAGTATCACCACAGAGCACGCCAGACCACGTGGTCTGTGTGCCAGCCTGCTTGCCAGCGACTTGGCAACCCACGCTTGTTGCCCACGAGGTGAACGTCACACCCAGTGATGACTTGAGCAACAGCATTGCTGGCGAGGGGAGGGCGGGGAGGGAATAAATAAAGTAGCAGGGACAGCGTGGAGATTTGGAAGAGGGGAAAAACGTATAAGGATTAAGAAGTGGAGAGAAGGTATGAGGATTAAGAAAGAAGTGGAGAGAAAGTAAATGCAAGAAAAATGAAAAGAGGAAGCATCAAAACTATGCAATGGATGGTGCATGGATGACAATGCAAGGCAAGGAGCACCCTCCACACACCTGCAGCGCTGGTAGATAGCACGGCAGTTAGATTACCACCTGCACATTAGACCACAGGGAGGTTTTAGCCCATACAGAGGGGGTAGGTGGGTGAGTGAATCATCAGCATCAGCATCATCATCAGCATCATCATCATCATCAGCATCATCATCATCATCATCATCATCATCATCATCATCATCATCATCATCATCATCATCATCATCATCATCATCATCATCATCATCATCATCATCATCATCATCATCATCATCATCATCATCATCATCATCAGCATCAGCATCAGCATCATCATCAGCATCAGCATCAGCATCAGCATCAGCATCATCATCATCATCATCATCATCATCATCATCATCATCATCATCATCATCATCATCATCATCATCATCATCATCATCATCATCATCATCATCATCATCATCATCATCATCATCATCATCATCATCATCATCATCATCATCATCATCATCATCATCATCATCATCATCATCATCATCATCATCATCATCATCAGCATCAGCATCAGCATCAGCATCAGCATCAGCATCAGCATCAGCATCAGCATCAGCATCAGCATCAGCATCATCATCATCATCATCATCATCATCATCATCATCATCATCATCATCATCATCATCATCATCATCATCATCATCATCATCATCATCATCATCATCATCATCATCATCATCATCATCATCATCATCATCATCATCATCATCATCTCATCATTATGCGAGGGGTGAGCGCATATGGAAAACATCTTGACAGACACAACACTCAGAACGAACCATGCACATTTAAATATGCAAGAATCTCAGTCTCAGACACAACCAAGCCTGCTACTTAAACGCTGATATGAGGTGGCTAAGGAGAGTGAGGAACCTACGTGAAGGCTCAAGGTACGTTACCTGAGCAAACCATGGGTGGTAAAGGCGTGACCGATCCTGAATTCAGTATTTTGGCAGCAATGTTACTAGCAGCTGCGACCATGCACTCCCCACCGGCGCCAAAGCAAAAGGGAGCGATGGCATTGGTAGTGCCACAGATGGCGCAGTCAGCAGCGGGTCGCTGGGTTGTCCCATAACTGGCGCACTTGGAGGGATCGGTCATGCAGGCAAGACTGCCGGCGCAGAAGGCAAGTGAATGGGCGGCGATGCTCGTAATGTAGTTTCTTTTAAAGTTGAGTACTTTCAAGGCCGTACTCATGCCTGGGATGGTACCAGTGAGGTAGTTGAACTCCAACCTCCTGAGAGATTAGTGTGGGGGGGTCAAAAGGGCATGTGGCGAGGGTTTCTGTGTGAGGGGAGGGGAGACAACAAGGACAGTTAAGGGGAAAAGGTCTGAACGTTTTTCATTAGAAAGGATGGCATGGTGACACTTACAGTTCGGTGAGTGCTGGGAAATTCATGAGGTACGAAGGGACCGAGCCATAAAGATAGTTGTAAGTTAGTGATCTGCCGAGTGAAGGGCGGAACAGTTGGTGGCCAGATTAAAGACACTCACTCAGGCTAACGAAGCGCGGATTGCTGCAACTGAACCTACTCCTACCCACACACAGACTCGAGCAGCAAAGTCATAATTCTGAAAGAGCAGCAAAATCTCCTTCCAGTTGAAAGTATGTTTAGGCATGGGCATTTGACCCGGACGGTTCGGGTAACCCGACCAGACCCGGCCTTTTGGCCGGGCCGGGTCAGGTGTACTGAGTATCCCGACCCGGGCGGGTCGGGTCGGGCCTACCCGTCCGGGTCGGGTCGACCCGTGACCCGTCAGGGCATCTTTTTCACGGGTACCCTTGACCCGTCGGGTCGGGTCGACCCGTGACCCGTCAGGGCATCTTTTTCACGGGTACCCTTGACCCGTCGGGTCGGATCGACCCGTGACCCGAAAAACGGGTTAAGATACAGCAATCGTAGGATAGACTGCAATAGCGTTGCGTGAATGGCTCTGCATCGGGCTGGCAAACAAGAGGGATGATAGCTTTGGTGTAGGAGGAGGCGTAGGAGAGATCGTGGATAGGGAAACCTAGGTCGAAGTTGAAATTCGTATTCCACAGTCGCCAAATTTGTGCACAATGTTGTCTCCAACCAATTTCCCCTCCCATCACCTATCTTCACCGCATTGCATCTAGATCATCCAACCAATTTGAGATTTGAAAGCTGGACGGTCGTCACTTCCAGATCTACAACAAAGTTGATCAAGGGAGTCTCCCCCTTTCCCCTTCTGCGGGAAATACCTTGGATCCGCGTTTCCGCGCTTACCTGCGGGAAATTCGCGGATCCGCGGATCTGCGGCGAAATTGCCAATTTGCGCAGATCTCCAAGGAAAACCGCCGATCCGCGCAGTTCGTCTGGGGAAATCGCCGATCCGCGGGAATGGCGAATTTTTATTATAATTACCCGACCCGACCCGACCCGAAGTTACACGACCCGAGGACGGGTCACAGAGACCCGTCCTCCCTATGGCGGGTCGGGTACCCTAAATTTGGCCTATCTTGACCCGACCCGACCCGACCCGACCCGACCCGAACCCGTCGCGGGTCGACCTTGACGGGACGGGTCGGGACGGGTCGGGTCAAATGCCCATGTCTAAGTATGTTCATATGCATCTCTTTAACTATGCGGCAAGAGTTCTGCTTGTTAAGACGTGTAATCAATATGCCAGGACATGAAATCGCTCTTTTGATGAAGCTAATTTTGCTGCTTTTGCAGCCAATTGCATGAATTCATGATTCTTATCCCTTCGCCAGCCATGTTGCTCGTTTTACGGTATTCACATCACAAGCTCGCATGCTCGTGACTGCTCGCTGCTGACCAAATGCTCTGTACTGCTCACAAGTATTGTAGAGATGTCAACCCCTTGATGCTGGAAGCAAAGTCTTCCAAGCGGCCGGTGAAAAAATCAACTGAAAAATCACTGATGGAGGGCAGGCGCATGGCAACACATGCTGTACACGCTTGACATGGCATGGCAACACATGGCATGACGTGGCATGGCATCACGTGGCAAGGCAGCAGAGGCATAGAAACAGTACAAAGAAATACTTGCATGTTCGTGGAAGGGGAGAGAGAGACAAGAGGGTTAGTGGGAGAAAAAGAGGGACTGACAGAGTTGTGAGGGCAGTCAGCTTGGACATGTCAGCAGGCAGGCTGGTGGCCTTCGAAAAACTGAACCCAAGCCGCCTGCAGACAGGTGCATGTGGTAGAACGGATAGGGAGCGAGCAGTGGGTGAAACTGAGTCATATGGATGGATAGATGGATTGTTGGATGCTTGGATGTAGACATGGGCAAAGAGTCAAGTTTCCAAACTTGACTCGATCGGGGGACTCGGTACTGGTCGAGTGTCGAGTGTGATTACCCTTTGAAAAAACTCGACTGGGCCAAGTCGAGTTTTACCCGCCGAGTTTCAAAAAACTCGGTCTAGGCTCGGCCCTCAAGGCGAGTTTTTTCTAGACTCGACGAGTTTTTTGGACTCGACGAGTTTATGAAAAAACACGTCGCGACATTGGGGTGGCATACAAATTTCGAAATTTGAAATCTGGCGGGTCCATTTTCAGATCGCGATTTCAGTTAGACCCCTTCCCCAACAAGTCGTCCGTAGTTCCCAGTGCCTAACCAGCCAAACGCACGGCTGTTTTTTCTTCTTAAACTTACGATCGTCATAGGGGCAACGTAGTTCTAGGTTCACACATAGTTAGTGACGCGATTTATTGCATGGCTGGTTTCAATTAGGGTTTGAGGAGGAGGAACCGCTACTATTTATTAATTTAACGGGCGACCTACAGATTTAGCATGGCGAAGTTCAAGCAGCTTACAAGTAAGAACCCCAAGGGCGGAAAAGGGGGGTTGGGAGGAACCCACCGTGGCGATCATGCGGGAGGGGTGGAGGAGGAGGACCAGGTGGAGACTGCTACTGGGCGTCGCAGGCTTCGTGCTATTGCTTCGTGATATACAACAGAAAACCATGCACAGCTGGAAGCCTCACTTCCAGCTTTTATATGATGTATCCCCTCCCCCCCCTCCCCCCAATTCGAGTTTTACTAGGCCTCGGCCGAGTGTATGAAATGCCCCGGTCGAGTTTTTAAAAACTCGCCTTAAACAGCCGAGTCTCGAGTCCAGAACCTTGGCAAAAAAACTCGACCGGGTTTCACCCGACTCGAACTCGAACTCGGTCGAGTTTTGGCCCAGACCGAGTCGAGTAAAACTCGACTCGGTACATTGCACATGTCTACTTGGATGGATGAAGCGCAAAGAGTGAGCTGACCTATTCGTATGCCTCGTCTGTGCTTGAAACGCTTTCAGACTTAAACTCACACAGACGGGCGTTCTTGAAGCACTTACGCTGTTGCAGGCGATCCGTCAGCGGAGCAATCAACACGAGTCCAGGTGCTGGTGATTCCACTCTGGACAGGTGAAGTACCCACCACACAGAGAGTGGAGGCGGTCCAGTCTGTGTATGTCAAGCCAAAGTATGACTTGATGGATAGCATCGCGGACACTGGATGGAGATAATCAGGGGGGAAAGAGAAAGGCAGAAGAGGACGAAGTATGCACGATTTTGGGAGGGGTTGAAGGAGGAGGTGTGGGTGAGGAAGCTTATGCACGGGTGTAGAGTAGGAGACAATGAGATTCGAGAGGGAATAAATGGGAGTGCAGGAAATGAAAGGGAGAGGCAGGGGTAATGGCGTTAGGAGGGAGGAAAGGCCCACCTGAGGCAGCGTTCATGAGGACGAGAGGAGCATTCCCTGCACAGGCACACACAGGCAACAGCTTAAGGCACGAACAAACAGAACACAAGACAGAATTCAGGTGGAAAATAGCTGCAGCAAATTCAAGTACATCATTGGGAGAATTATGTTCAAAGGACATTTAGATGGTGGCCGTTCCATTCCTATTTCAATGGTAGATGTTCCCCACATGCCTGGCCACATCATATCAAATTCTTCAGCCTGCTCATCACATGGCACAGTTTTTATGGTATGCGGGTCTCCTCTCCTTCCTGCCAATCGACAAGCGACACGCACCCTGGCAGGCCATGGAAACCGGCGGCAGCGAGGGGACGTTGATAGTCCCATTGCCTGCATACACAGAGCTTCTGGGGGCACAGAGTCCACTACCGCACAGCGCTCCCTGCCCGTCAGTCGTGCCGCAGATGGCGCAGGCAGTGGTGGGGCGCTGCAGCGAGCTGTAGGTGCAGCAGTTGGAGGAGTTGAGGAAGCAGTTCTGGTTGGCTGTACAGTAAGAGAGAGAGAGCTGGGGGAAGGAGCCCGAGAGGAAGTTGAAGGCCACGTCCAAAGAGAGCAGGGAGGCAGGGAGGGGAGGTATGGTGCCCGTGAGGTAGTTGGAGGAGAGGCCTCTGGTGGCGGAAGGTATAGGGGGGTTTGGAGAGGCAAGCACAGGAAACGGAAGATGAAGCAGCACAGATAGAGGAGGCATACGAGTGAGACGAAATTGAGACGTGAGAGAGAAGGGGATAAGCGAGCTACTTCCAGGCAAGATTAGGAACGAGGCTACTGCATGTATCTGCGGATCCCAGAATCTGTGTGTTTGGCTTACAGGTCACGCTTTTGATGGGTGTGGCAAGCCCAACCAGAGTAGACTGAAAAAGGTTGTAGCCGAAATCCCTAAAGCAGGTGAGGGGGAGAAATTTTGTGAAGCACAAGTCTGGAAAGGAAGGATTGTGCCGGAGGCAGGTCGTAGGATGGGTTGGAGAGGGAGACACTTGTTGCGAACTTCACATCAGCAGCATGCACGCATGCATGCATAATCAGCCGTTCACCTCTCTGGACGACTCCTCTCACCTCATGGGCCAGCCGCCAGCGGCAGCAGGGTGGCCTTCAATCGCAGAACCAGAAACTTCGTGTCCTTCGTGTGTGGCACACGGGCACTTGACCATTCTCTTCGCAATGAGGTGTTCGCCCTTACAGGTAAGTGAGCGCAGTGAGCTTGGTGATGTCCGAGTGTATAGACCCCGATAAAAACTGACGCGATAACGAACTGAGGGGGGAGGGGGGGGGGGGGAATGGGAAGTGGCAGAGGGATGTGTCTTCAAGGAGTTGATACAGGCCGGTTAGTTACCTGTCTGATCCCCTTCTTCCCTCCCAAAAAGCTTTACCATGCATGCATGGGTGCTCACATTGAAACCACGTCCCCGTTATCGCCACAGAGCACGCCGGACCACGAAAGCGGCCCTGCAGGAACCGGCTTTCCAGCCACTTGGCACGGCGTAGTTGCTGCCCACGTTAAGGCATTCAAGCCCAGCGTTGCCTTCAGCATCAGCATTACTGGCGACAGTAGAGGGGGGTGAAGAGGGGAAGTTAAGGGAGGCGAGGGCATGCAGCACACAGAAGAGCGACGCAGGAAGTGGGGAAGTGGGATCATAGATTGGGAGAAGACACAACGCACGCTGCATTTGAATAGGCATGGATACTTCGTAACTGTGACAAATCAAGGCACACACCTCCAACAGCGGTAGATGACATGGTAGTAAGTTGACCGCCTGCAGGAGTAAAGCAAAGGGAGTTTGGGCCAAATAGAATCTAGGCGGGTGGGTGAAACATCATCAGCAGCAGCAGCGGTAGCGAAGGAGGCGGCAGCGGCTGCAGCAGCAGCACAAGTAGGAAGAGCAGAAGGGTGCATCAGTAAGGAAACCTAACATAACACACCCACCATTCAAAAGTGAAGGGAGTTTAAACCTCTCAGTCCCAGTCACACCCTAGCCTGCTGCACCAATGCTAAGGTTAGGCGGCTAAGGAGAGTGTGGAACCCACATGCAGGGTTAAGCCACGTTACCTGAGCAGAGCATGGGCGGGACAGGGCTCAGCGCTGATGTATTCAGTGTGCCGGCTGCAATGTTAGACGCAGCAGCAACCACACAGTCTCCACCGGCACCCCAGCACAGCGGGCCAATGCCATTGTTAAGGCTACAGACGGAGCACTCAGCAGCGGTTCGCTGGGTGGTCCCAGTAGTGGTGCACGTGGAGGGATCGGAGAGGCAGCATAAATCGCCGCTGCAAATGGTGAGTGTATTTGTGAAGATGCTGGAAATGTAGTTGCCTTTGATGTAGAGCTCCTTCAAGACTGTCCCAACAGCTGGAACGCTACCAGTCAGGTAGTTGAAATTTAGATTCCTGAGGAGAGGATAGTGGGTGGGAGAAAGGGATTGTGATGAGAAGCCGAGTACGTGAGAGGGGAGAGGTAGCGGCAAGCACAGTCAAGAGAAGGAAAGGGGTATGAAATTTATGGCACTATGTTACTTACAGCGATGTGAGTGTTGGGAGGCTCACGAGGAATGAAGGGACCGTACCATAGAAATAGTTGTAACTCAGTGATCTGCAGAGTGCATAGCAGGGGAGTTGGTGGCCTGATTAATGACACTCACTCACTCACGCTTATGACACATGGCTTGCTGCCATCAAATCTGCTCCTACCATGACTCATACTTGACCAGTACTTCTTCCTGACGCGTCATAGTACTGAGAGAGCAGCGAACTCTCCTTCAAGTTAACTGGAATTCGCTTATCGTTCCTTTTGCAGCCAAGTGCATGGCAGCGTACTCCCTGATCAACGACGATGTTCAGGGTTCAGGGTTACATGTTCACAGCCTACTCATTAATTACAGGCTCACGTGCTCTTGATTACTCATATGCTCTTAATTGCTCACATGGTTTGTAGAAGAGGAACGCTCTTGAGGCTGGAGGTGAAGTCTTCCAAGCGGCCAGTAAAAAGATTGAAACCAAGCGATCTGATTGCGGGCAGGGGGGTGGAAACAAAGGTTGTACATGCATGACGTGGCATGGGAACAGCACCCAGGTATGCGTGAGGGAGAGAAACAAGAGTTGAAGTTGCATGACAACGTCCTTACGTTTAAATGTTTCTTTTAATTCGCGGAGAGAGAGAGAGAGAGAGAGAGAGAGAGAGAGAGAGAGAGAGAGAGAGAGAGAGAGAGAGAGAGAGAGAGAGAGAGAGAGATAGAGAATGCTGTAAAAGGGCGGGGCTGGGCAGCACAGGAAGCAGCAGCCAAAAAGGTCGACCTCTACAGAGACCGCCCGAACGAGGTGGAGTTTTTCCCTCTTGCCGTCGAGACGTACGGATGCCCGTGTCCGGAAGTCGTCGACTTCCTTAAACTGCTGGCGGAAAAGGCCGCCCGCCACCACTTCAATGCAGAGCCCACTTCTTACCAAGCCGCAAAATTTCTGCACCAATACCGCCAGCGATGGTCGGTGGCGCTGCAGCGTGGGCAATCCGTCGGCTACCTATCGAAGTGCAACCTGGCGGCGGCAATAGAGAATCCCCTGGTGGAGGCTCCTGGTGAGGCCCCGTCCCTCGGGGACTGCCTCACCGTCCTTGAGCCCGCCCTAGACCTCCCCTAGGTGGGGAGGGGCTAGAGGGGACGCAGAAGGTCTAGTTCTGAGTTAGATGATTGCATGCGTGGCTTGTTTTGACTGCTTGGATGTCAGCTTATGCCTATACTCTGCATGTCTGTAATCCGCCGCCTACATCAATGAAAGGACCATTAGAGAGAGAGAGAAGGCCTTAGCACCAAGCCCTCTTCCTCAGCCCTCTGCCCTCTTCCTCCAGAGCCTATTTAAGGGCTGCCCTTGGCTCTTCTTGCTCATTATTTCGTGTGGGTTCAGTTTTCCAGCAGCTCGCGCCGCTCGCTTGTGCGGCCTTCGGCCGCGCGCTCCTGGTGGCAAGAAACAAAGCAGAAGGTTGCCTAATCACGGAGTACACACACGCAACGGAGGCAAGGGAGCAGGGCATCATCGAGAGAAGAAAACATGCAGTACTACACTAGGCGGAGGCCTACATCGTGTACGGCTCCGCCCCTTCCATCTCAAGCATCGAGCGCATACACGCCGACACCGCGAGAAGGAGCTGGGCCGACGAATGGAGAGTCTCCGCTGGCGTCCCAACGCGAGCAGCCCCTACAAGGTCCTCCACGTGGCGGGGGAAGGTACGCGCTAAGGGCGCTACCCCGGCGGGCGCTTCCGTCACGGGCTCCAAAGGCAGGACGAGAGATTCTGCCCAAGTCACGCACGACCCTCGGGATCCTGGAGCGTAACTGCCCGGAGAGTTACGCATGGCCCCACACACCGCCATCTGCAAACTCGCCACCCCCTCGCACGCCTCCGCCAGATTCAACATCCGGGACATGGTCAGCATGGGGTCTCTCCATAACTGGCGCACTTGGAGGGATCGGTCATGCAGGCAAGACTGCCGGCGCAGAAGGCAAGTGAATGGGCGGCGATGCTCGTAATGTAGTTGCTTTTAAAGTTGAGTACTTTCAAGGCCGTACTCATGCCTGGGATGGTACCAGTGAGGTAGTTGAACTCCAACCTCCTGAGAGATTAGTGTGGGGGGGTCAAAAGGGCATGTGGCGAGGGTTTCTGTGTGAGGGGAGGGGAGACAACAAGGACAGTTAAGGGGAAAAGGTCTGAACGTTTTTCATTAGAAAGGATGGCATGGTGGCACTTACAGTTCGGTGAGTGCTGGGAAATTCATGAGGTACGAAGGGACCGAGCCATAAAGATTGTTGTAAGTTAGTGATCTGCCGAGTGAATGGCGGAACAGTTGGTGGCCAGATTAAAGACACTCACTCAGGCTAACGAAGCGCGGATTGCTGCAACTGAACCTACTCCTACCCACACACAGACTCGAGCAGCAAAGTCATAATTCTGAAAGAGCAGCAAAATCTCCTTCCAGTTGAAAGTATGTTTAGGCATGGGCATTTGACCCGGACGGTTCGGGTAACCCGACCAGACCCGGCCTTTTGGCCGGGCCGGGTCAGGTGTACTGAGTATCCCGACCCGGGCGGGTCGGGTCGGGCCTACCCGTCCGGGTCGGGTCGACCCGTGACCCGTCAGGGCATCTTTTTCACGGGTACCCTTGACCCGTCGGGTCGGGTCGACCCGTGACCCGTCAGGGCATCTTTTTCACGGGTACCCTTGACCCGTCGGGTCGGATCGACCCGTGACCCGAAAAACGGGTTAAGATACAGCAATCGTAGGATAGACTGCAATAGCGTTTCGTGAATGGCTCTGCATCGGGCTGGCAAACAAGAGGGATGATAGCTTTGGTGTAGGAGGAGGCGTAGGAGAGATCGTGGATAGGGAAACCTAGGTCGAAGTTGAAATTCGTATTCCACAGTCGCCAAATTTGTGCACAATGTTGTCTCCAACCAATTTCCCCTCCCATCACCTATCTTCACCGCATTGCATCTAGATCATCCAACCAATTTGAGATTTGAAAGCTGGACGGTCGTCACTTCCAGATCTACAACAAAGTTGATCGAGGGAGTCTCCCCCTTTCCCCTTCTGCGGGAAATACCTTGGATCCGCGTTTCCGCGCTTTACCTGCGGGAAATTCGCGGATCCGCGGATCTGCGGCGAAATTGCCAATTTGCGCAGATCTCCAAGGAAAACCGCCGATCCGCGCAGTTCGTCGGGGGAAATCGCCGACCCGCGGGAATGGCGAATTTTTATTATAATTACCCGACCCGACCCGACCCGAAGTTACACGACCCGAGGACGGGTCACAGAGACCCGTGTCAAACTTATACACTATAGTCTGTGTAGGCTGTAGTGGGGTAGCTCATATGGGGTACAACATTCTAGGGTTTGGTACTTGTACTCCTCATGCTGCTCAATGCATTCATTCTCGTTCCAATTTTCACATGGTATAGAGCAGGTTCCCTCGTGGGAACTGTTCCTAGGGCCCACCGTAAGATTTTTTTCCTGCCCGGAGCGCGCTCCGCCCCTGCCCGAGTCGCGCTCCCCTCCCCTCGCTTCCCTTAGCGGCCCCGTCGCGCCGCGCTTCCGGCCCCGGCGCCGCCTCTGCTGGCCCCGGCGCCCCCTTGTCGCGACCTTGCGGCCCCACCCTCGCGTCGCCCTGCGCGGCGTCGTTACAGCCGCCCGCGACCCCGACGCCGCCCGTCGTGACCCCGTCGCCCTTCGCGCCGCCCGCGACCTCGTCGCCGCGGCCGCCTGCGACCCTACCGCTGCAGCCGCCCGCGACCCTGTCGCCGCAGCCGCCCGCGACCCTGCCGTCGCCGCCGCCCGCGACCCTGCTGTCGCAGCCGCCCGCGACCCTACCGTCGCCGCCGCCCGCGACCCTGCAGTCGCAGCCGCCTGCGACCTCGTCGCCGCGGCCGCCTGCCCTCCCGTCGCCGCAGCCGCGCGCGACTCCTGTGGTCGCAGCCGCCCGCGACCCCCCGTCGCCCCACCCGTGCGACCCCACCGCCGCCCTTTGCGGCCCCTTCGCCATCCCTTCGCGGCCCCGCCGAGCAGCCGCGCCGCCGAGCCGTCGAGCCGCCGAGCCGCCGAGCCGTCGTTGCCGCCGAGTTGCCGAGCCGTCGAGCCGCCACTGCCGCCGTGCTGCCGAGCCGCCGAGACGCCGGTGCCGACGAGCTGCCGAGCCGCTGAGCCGCCGAGCCGCCGTTCCTGCCGTCCCGGCCCTGTTCCTGCCGACGCGCCTCGGTCCTTCTCGCCTGCCCGGTAAGAGCAGCGCCTCCACCACTGCTCTGCCCTAGCCTGCTGCTCTCACTGCTAGTCTACTGCTGTCATGGCTTCCCCCAGTGTCCTCACTTTTGACGCTGAGGGTCGGGCCATTGACTTTGACGTCTGGGTAGATGACCTGCAGCTTTTCCTACTGAGCGACAGAGCAGACGGCCTCTCCCTTTTTGACCTCACCTCTGGTGCCTCTCCTGCCCCTGCTGCTGATGCTGACCCCACTGTTCGCTCCCAGTGGGCCACACGCGATGCTGCTGCCCGCCTTGCTGTGCGCCGCCACTTGCCGACCTCTGAGCGTGCGCACTTTAGCCAGTACAAGAGTGCTAAGACCTTGTACGACGCTGTAGTTGCGCGCTACTCTTCCCCTGCCACTGCTGCACTTAGCCGCCTTATCCTACCGTACCTCTTCCCTGACCTCGCCGCTTTTCCCACTGTCGCTGACCTCATTACGCACCTTCGCACTAGTGACACTCGCTATGTCACAAATAACGGACTGGAATGACTGTACTAACAGAAGGATGGATACAAATAGGAAACCCTAATCCAGTGTACCCCCTAAGGTATCACCCACTACAGCCTACAATCATATAAACATATAATGTTTGACACACCCCCATAGGCAAAGTGGGGGAGACCTAGGGGTCACAAGACCAGTCAAGGCAAAGCAAGGCAACAACAAGCTCAGGGTGGATCTCAAGGATTCCACACAAATTCCGAGCACAAGCTAGCGGTCACAAGACCAGTTCACATGCAAGTTTATAACAGAGCAAGAGATACAGTGATCACAACCTAGCAAGAGTAAACATGCAGGTATAGATATATATAGTGATCACAGTACAAGCAAAGTCAAGAGGTAAGCAAGTGAGGTCCAGTAGGCACAAGGCCTAGTAGAGTGCAGAAGCGCTGATGGTCACGAGGCTGAAGCGCCTTGGTGAACACATCAGCAGTGTTGGCCTCAGTGGCCACGTAGCGAATACAAAGCTGACCGCGCTGCTGCAGCTCTCGAGCAAGGAAGTACCGCAGGGCGATGTGCTTCGTTCTGTGCTCCAGTCTGTGCTCCTCACACAAGGCAATGGCAGCCTTGTTGTCGACGTACAGTACTGGAGGAGAACGAGGCCGCTCTCCGAGGTCGGTCAGCAGGTAGGTCAGCCAGCGTAGCTCCTGGGCAGCCATGGCTGTAGCGTAGATCTCAGCCTCGCAACTGGAGCCGAGAACAGAGGAAGAGCGTGTAGAG